GCTCCAACATGCCCGCGACCCTCATGAGGATAAAGCGGTTCAGGGAAAGGATGGATGGATATTTTTGCCATTTAAGTGACGATGGAATCATTTAACTATCCCAGAAATATAAAATGGTGCTGAAGATCTTACGTCACCTTCCATTGACTGTGCTCTACTGAGTGCTATGCTAGTGCTAGTCATGCTATCATTTGACATCAGTACCTGCTGTTCATACTGGCAGAGAAAATAGATGCTGGCGGCACAGCCAACAGCCATGCCGGTGGAGAGAAGCCACGAGCCCAGATGAATCCCAATATGCTTGAACTTTTCAGTGAGGGTTAGCAGATCTCTCTGGGCCTTCTCTGACATTGACTCCTGGAAGGTTGCCATAGGTTAACATGGTCACAAAAGATAGTGAGACAATTAATCTGAAATCTGAAGCAGATTGTCTTTCTAATTTATGAACATTTTTACACCATACTCCTATTCTCTAGCAAAAATACTGAGCTGTCGGAAAAAAGGGAGATGGATCACATCTTGTTTTCCGTTGCAAAAGTCGCACATACACCAACCGCATCAAGAAGAGTTTTTAATCCCTGTTCTGTCAGACTAATTACCACTGACACCCATGGGTTCAGATGTGGGTCGGATTATTGTTTTTGGATGTTATCAGGTTGTTTCATGAGGATGATTCATTACTTTTTGACTCTGGGTGGTTAGAAAGTATATTCTTTGCATTGCTTTGTTTGTGTAAAAGAAACATCAAATAGTATGTTCTCAAACTGAAAAGGTTTGTATTGGACAAAATTTACCTTTAACTGTACGCTGAGGTTGTTCTTGCGCTGTCTCACCGCTCTCTCATTGATGATGTTAAAATCCCAGCTGCACAAAAGCTGCCATGCACTGTTTGAAACTTGATCCGCAAGCATGTAGTTTGTCTTGAAAGAGTTTGCCATGCTGTAGGGGACAAAAGAAACATTTACTGTATTTTGGGGGATCTATGTACTTTAAATTCTCAAATCTTTACGATAAATATATTAAGCAAATTCGACTCACCTTGTAATAAGTGCAATGCCGCACAACACCATATAAATGGCAATCGTGAAAAAGTAGGCTAGCTGCATGTTGTATTCGACCAGATCCACAAGGGTTTCATTGCTGTAACCACCGTAGTACATGGCAGTGTAGTTGAAGTAACCCTGATGGAGTTGAAACATGAACTGTTCTTTTCCCAGCGCAATGAAAATTATTTCAAGATGAAGTACATGAGGTGATAAAAGAGTTCAGTGTTGACAACCAATACACAAAATAAGATGGTTTAAAACAAAAAACAAAACAAAAAAAAGAAAGAAGTTCACTTTGTATGACAA